TAATGGGCCCATCAATGCCCTGCCCCATGACTCATAGATAACTTCCCCCTGTATTGTCCCCTGTTAATGGGCCCACCACTGCCTTGCTGCATGACTCAGAGATAACTTCCTCCTGGACTGTTTTCTGTTAATGGCTCATCAAGGCCTTATCTCATGACTCACCATCCCATTGTGAGATGCTCCTCCCCGAGGGAGGAGCCAAGCATTCCATACTGGATATAAGCTGAGAATTCGAACACCACAGCAGCCCTTACCTACGGGACTTCCAGAGGACAAGAGCTACTGCTGGACTTTCAGCTGAAGACCAGACCCCCTTTCTTCCAGAAGATCACACTTCAACAAGACCACCTCATCTGGACGACTACCATCACCCTAACAGGGTTCCAGGCTGTATTCTGACTCTGTCAGTGTTTTTAATATTATTGCATTTATTCTTTTTATCATTTTCCTATTAAATTATAATTCTGACTTGCGATCTCTCACTGGTTTGATTTCAAACTAGTACAACCTGTTACTCAGGACTATTGTTTGCACCCCCAATAGCCACAAAACCAATACCCTAGTTGGTGGCAGTAGTCTTTGCCTGGGTTGGTGGCTGGGCTCAAACACATCGGCTTTTGGCCAGTTCAATGTACCAGAGTGACTCATATGTTCTGTCACTTTTGGATGTTAGTTAGCAGACAGTTGTGCAGGACTATAAACAGCACAATTACTATAAGCAGTTTACCATATAAATGACACCATACTTGCAAACTTACAGCTAAAACTTTAACGCTAAATGAACTTTCAAAGATGCTTACACTACCTCATGAAGGGGGAATACTTATACTTTATACTAACATAACAATTACTACACAGGCTAGACACTTTACCTTAAACTATTATCTAATTATTTTAAACACACGTGCTCTGGTATATATGTAGTCTAAGCATGAAAGCAATTTGCTAAAAGGGTAAATACACAACTACAATTTGCTTTATATACAGTTAGATGGAGTCTCTACACTTCCCAAATCTTCTACAGAATTTCTCTAACACAATTCAGTCTTGGAATGTTCACTGCTCCCGTGATGTCAGTTAATCGGTGACTGAGGGCTTTGATGTTCATGTTGTTCTTCACATCCTTCTAAATCTTAAAACAAAGGATAACTGAAAAATTGGTAGAGACACAACATCATAATAACAACATAAAATTTCTGTTGGCAACTGTCTGTATAGTATTCAGACACAACTGTGTCCTGACAGGTCCACTTTGATCCGTGTCTGGAGTTCCAAGGCTGTGTGGTGACTTCTCTGTTCACTGGATCTCATGTGTTCAGAGGCACACAGTCTGGTCAGATGGACAGGTGACCTTTCTGAACCTGCCAACAAAACACAGACACTTCTCTCCTTGAAGTTAATGAATTACACTAATTAAATGCTTTTAGGGCATCAATTTCCCCCATTTTCTTTGAAAAAAATAAAAATGAGATGTACTTCTGTTATACACATCAACATTAACACAAAACCATATACACCATTAGTAAGAACCTATAGCAGTTAAAAATCAATTAAATCATAAACATTATTAATAACATATGTAATATAAGACTACTGTTAATTACTAAACACTGCACCAGCATCCCATAGTTAACAAACAAAAAAAACAAAAAATCATCAGTGAAGGATTGGATAATCACCTCCGGAAATGATTCTCCAAGCTCACTTCAAAATTGATCCAGCAGTCATATTAATAGGGTCAAATTGCTGAGTCAAAAAGTGACTCAAATACTGATTTGGCGCAAAAAACATCTGGATCTGCTGGCAAACACTCTATCCAGGTAAAGTCAAGGCTTGGCCAGGACCTAGGCTTTAAATTGGAAAGATGTCTCTTAACTCATTTCTAAAACAAGGTTTTCAATAGTAGCAGCTATGAGATGCTTACAGCACAGCAAACTGTTGAAATGCATTTGTACAAAGCAAATGATCAGAAACCTTAGGTACCAGACTAATTAAATCATTCAGCAGTTGGTTTAATCTGAAGTCTCCCCCATGGCAGCTGACCCTCAGCAATCATACATTTTAAAATTCTGGAAACACTAAAAAATAAGAAAGCTATAACAAACAAAACTGCAGAGATTGCAACAACCCAATAGAACTCCCGATGAAGTCAAGGGTGTCACAGACTGCATTCACTTCTGTCCACAAGCAGAAGTGTTCACCAGCGTTCTGTCACAGCTGTGTCAGTTGTGGCTATCTTCATTTCTCTAAGAGAAATAACTATACTTTGTAGTTTAGACAAGCGTCTCCAATAAAACATAAAACAATTTAAATTAAACAATATTTAAACCTAACAATAATTATTGATGACAAAAGGAAGTAACGAAACTTAACTTTAAAAGAATATCCAAGTTATACAACTTAACTTAAAAACATTCAAGCCTAAACATAATAAAACTTATTTTTAATTCTATTAACACTTCTATTAACACTTTTTTAAACCATGAATCTCTTCTGTTGATAACATTAATTGGAAGGTTTTCTTAGAAGCTGTAAATCACACCATATTTTAACCTTAGGTTTTAAAACTAATTATTGCAAGGTAACTTCTGTTAATATTCACTTTAAACATTTTTTTTTTTTTTTGAAAAGGGGATTTTTAAACTTTCAAAAAAATCACAATAATTTCTCTAATAAAACTCTAAAAACTGCAACTGTATAAACTCATAATTACTTAAAACACAAAATTAACTCTAAAAGGGTATATAAAAACATTTTTAAAAACTCAATAGATCATGGCTTTGTAACAAACTGGGTATTATCCTGGTGCTTTTTCTTAGAGAGGGAGCAGGGGGGTGAACTGCCCGCTCTGCTGCTGCAGCTCTGCTCTTATCTTTTTTCACATTTTCTACATACGCTCGCAGAGAGGAAAAACAGAGAGAGAGGAAAAAAAACTTCACAAAGTTAACTTTAACAAATGTAGTTTTTTCTCTCAATTTCTCTCTCGCTGTTAAACTCTCTGTCCTCCCTCAGACACCCGGACTGGGAATACTAACGCTTCTAGAGGAACCCAGGTGGGACATTCTGCTCTTATCTGACCCCAGTCTGTGAGAGGGGTATTCTCTCAGTTCTTTTTTAATGTGGGGGGGATGTTCTTGTTTATTGTTTCCTCTTCTGAGGACTCGGGCGCCAACCATTCATCACTCTTATCTCCTTCAGAGTCAGAGCTCGACTGGCTAGCCATTTCCTGTGTCCCGTACCTTTTTGTTGGGGTCCAGCCCCACCTACCACCCCTGTGGGTGGGCTGTTCCCTCCCTCCTGGCTCTCCCCGCCCTTCAGTCCACCTTCCACTCCGCCTTTCACCCCACCTTTCACTTCACCCTTCACTCCAGGCTCTGTTCCGCCCTCTGTTCGCCCCTCTTTTCCCTCCCTTTGCATTCCATTCTCTCTGTACCCATCCCCCGAGTCTTCTTCCACATTTCTTATCTCTTTCAATCTCCCAACTGTGTACATCTCTCAAGGTCAGTCTTTGTTCTTTGTTAAAGACATTTTTTTTCCTGCTCCGTAACTTTTTTCTCAGCGCCATCTTCAAGCCCCTGTGGGAGTGTTTCCCCTCTTACTTTCTCTGCCACACCTCTGGCTTCTTCTGTTAACTTTCTCCAAAAATCTCTTGCTTTCTGTTGTCCCTCTGAGGGCAGCTCAGGGTTTGGGGTTTTAGGGGGCATATCGTCCTCCTGTATCCCCTTCTGCTCAGCTGAGCTGCTCTCATCTGGAGGCTCTAAAGTTTGTGTTGTAGCACTGACTCCTAGTTTTGGGGTGACCAACAGACAGTTTTTTGCTGCCGTCCAGGTTTCTTGCTTTTGTCTAGCTTTTTTCAAGGCCTTGACGACCTTACCCCATGATTTAAAATGTTTCATATCACCAGAATTTACAGTTTCATTAGCCAGAGCTCTGGTGTGGCTCCCACACCTCAAGGTGAAGAATGTCCACTGGCTGCTCTATAACCCCAATATGTAAAAGCTGTGTAACAGCAAGCGTAAAATCCTGAGATTTACAATCTACCCCCCACTGCTTATGTAATTCAGATATGACCTTTCTCAACGATTCCATCTTTGTTCAGGATGCAGGGACGTCTCCCTTCACCAGAACCAGTCTAGCTGTCCTGGCCATTGCTTCTGTATTTCAGGGTTTGAATCCCGCTTTTCATCCCGGGTTTTCGGCACCATATGTGGGTTTTCAAGCAAGGCAGACACCCTGGTTCAGAGCCAGCACGGTGGCCCCCCTTGGCCACACGGACCATTTACCCACAAGACATCAATGTGATGGATGGCAAAGAATGGCGTTTATTGCAGGAGAATTTGACATTTTATAACCTAGGGTTACTGTGCTACTCCCATCTGCTTTCATCACAGCTAGGTGCTATTGGCTAATTGCAGAAGTCATTGCCATATTACAGAGAGGGGGTTTACTAACTTTCCATTACATCCTGATATCTTCCGAACACCAGGCGTTAGACTACAACATTTTTATTCTCTGCTTTCTGTGTCCTACTTCTTAGCAAATGTGGTTGCTCCAAGCACAGTGACATGGAGACATAGCACAACATGTTCATGAGGAACAACAGAGCTTGGTCCTCCCGCCTGAAAGTTGGATCTGGGAGCCCACAAAACCCTGCTGTGAGGCGCAACAAGAGAATGCGAGGGGTGACTGCTGGGGTCAGAGAATGATCCAGAGGCTTCTGTCCCCCAGGTGAAGCCAAGGCAGGAGCAGGATGAAAGGTGCTGGCGCTGCTGCTGCTGCTACTGCTCAGTGCCAGAGAGCTCTGGCTGGGCAGGGCACGGTGCCCACTGTGCTGTGGGCTCTTTCTCCTGCCAGATCTGGACACACCTGGGAACAAGTGATGATGACCTGTAAGAAAAACCAAGGGATTTGTGGGGGCTGCATTGCTGTGTACACACTCAGGCCACCTGCAGCACAGAGCTTGGGCCCCCAAAA